GAATGCGTGCTAAATTGCAATTGTGACGTGCAGGAAATAAAAACGGAATATTTTTCGAAGAGATTATTTCGTAATAAATAATTATCAAGCTCGTTCGAATTCCAATACATCCATTTGCATGCCCATCATCATCTATGTCATCATTATCACCATTCCACTTGACCCACATTATCTGCATCCACTGCAGGAAATGTGAATTCTGAACAAGCAAATTACCGAAGACCTTTACATCCACTTTCAGTATCTGCATCAGATCATCAATATCATCATCATTGTAGCCGTCAAAGACCCATATCGACACATACAAATGCACACATCGACAGATACTCACAGACGTCCATTCATTCATTTATCTGACCCTGCATCCAACGCGGGAATAATGCCCGTTGATTTCATACTCTTTGCTTCCTACTTCACCCCATTTCAGCCGGTGTTCAACCATCAGCGTGTCGTCAGCTGAACGAAACGTTTGGACTAGGTATTCAATGTAGCTCTTCTTTGCTATGCTCCAGACTACGAGCTGATACTGCGTAGACGAATTGTATCACATTGTTGTATTTATGAAAGTTTCTCGAATGTGTATACTGTCTGTCATTGCGTCAAGTATTTGCAAATTACTCCAAAATCTTGAGATCAATCAGCAAAATCACGACGATATATCTCACAAAATGGCAATCAGATGCCTGACATCACCTAAGTGAATACGATAAGCATGTAATCTCTATACCTGGTGAGCATTTCGGACTGGTTATGATAAGGATGACTCATCGAAATTTGTCAAACTATACATCGTCCATGTATGTATATGTGCATAAGTTGACATGAAAATCTGTGAGCAGCATCAATTTTGAAGAGTATTCAGCCGACGACGTGTCCTGCGAATTACAGTGAATTCGTCCAATGTGCCATTTTCACAATTCTAACAAACTTTTCTATGTAACTAAAGATTGTTTTGTAAACGTGAAGCATTGACTCCTACTGATAGTTCAGAATATGCTGCAACTCCATTATCATATATTTTATTGGATGTTTCAGATTGTACCTAGCTTATATGAGGTGAAGAATTGCGTCGAGTGTATGTTATTCTGCACGTAAAATACTTCTCACCATTTATTAGATGGAAAGTTGTTTAGAAAGGTGAATTTCCTTTTCAGTGTGAGTGGTGTACATGTGTTATGGTAGGTTTATCACATGACTTATATGCTGCATTGGTAGCTACACGTAAATAGATATGCAGCACTGGAGATGACAAAAAGAAGCTTATGGAATTTCGCTTCAGTACTGATGAACTTGGTTAATAGGGAAAATGTGGGCGAATTTTATCATACTGTTGTATTCAAAGCACCTGTGTGAATGCATTTGCTGTCGGTCACTGTGTGGTTCAAGTGTATTGGATATTGTGGTAAATCCAGTGGTATTCATAATGGCTGACTAAGACATCAGTTGAGAAACGCTCGAATTGCAATACAACATGAGAAGATTTGCACTGCTTGTTGTAGTGAAATATGCTTCTCTCGGTGCGAGTGCCAGCAACATTACAACTGTTTTCATCGACGTCTATATGCTGAGTATTCTGCCTCAACTTGAACATTCTTTTTTCACTCGTCTTTGCTTTTCAACGATATTCACTGAAATTCTGACGGTCACTGATCTCTTAGCAGTCAAATGATATCCTGATATCTGTTTCAGTTTCTGCTAGACGGAAGTAAATTGTTTTGAAGTCAAGCTGTATCGCACCATATCTTCTTTCTCGCAATTTGCTATGGTCAGAAAGAGAATTCACATCGCAAACATCCCCTCAACACTGAAATTCCATCTGTCAATCCAAGGCATTTTTCATGAAACTCAATAGAAAACACAAAAATGAACGTACACATACGTGAAGCGATAACAGAGAACTGATGAAATTTTTTATCAAAATTATATTATTACAGTTCAAATGATACAAGTGTCAGAAACTCGGGGGAGGACTACAACCTACAATTTTCTGAGGAGGAGTAAGAAATATCAATGTCGTTTCAAGCGGTCAATGAGAGATAACACCCTTTGTGACCTCTTGAGCGTGCACCGTCGGATCTTTCTCCTGTAGTATTAACGAGGATATTTTGAATGAAAGTTACAATTCGAGAGGTCGGTTGATCCGTACACCTGTGATATGTATGATGGTAGTAATAACCACAACACTTGTAGTCGTGTCCGCATTTGTTTTACTTGTTTAAACATTTGGAACAGGTTCCTGGTCTCAATGGTTTCTCCGTACACCGTAGAGGACTGCAAAATGATCAGTAACTCTCACAAGTCTGATTCACATTCCGAAACACTGGCTATTGACCATCGGTTAAAATCAATTTGAAGTGGAATAGAAATCAGTCAACGAGCATCATTCACGAGACTGATGTATATATGTCAGTATGTATGGATGGATCGATGGATGTATGAATGAGTGCAGGACTGGATATCTTTGAGAATCTGTCGATATGAGTGGATGTGTGTTTGGATCTGCGTCTGTAATGGCTACAGAAATGCGATCGTTGATGATCTGATGCATATACTGATGGTGCTTGCGATGCTGATAGTTATGTGTGCGTTGAGAATTCCCCAACGCTTTTCAGATGCAGATAATGTTGGTCGAGTGGTATGGTGATGGTGAGCAGGAGGAGGACGGTGTAGAAGATGATGGAAGAGACGATTTCGGTGACGATATTCTGCTGGTGATTATGCAAATGAATGCATTGGAATTCGAATTAGATGATGTGTGATCAACTGACAGACCAACTGACTGATTGACTTACCCGTCGTCATGCACACAGCATACAATACAGCAAGGAGAATTTCAGGATCAAAGTGAATCATCTTGTCTGTCTGCTTGTTGGTGGCTTCGATGTGATTTGATTAAGATCTGTTAGGAGGAGGTGCTTATATATAGCCAGAGAAGACGATAAAAATAGACAAAATCACGAGTGATGCATTACTCGGGTCATCTGCGTGATTCAACATGCTCCAGCGTGGATTGAGTGAATTTGTGAATAACGGATTTGTGAGTTGGATGTTTCATGCAATATGACAGATGATTTGATGAATAAAGCCGTTCAGGCTCTACCACCCACTTCAGCACGCATCAAACTATTATTTCCACTCATTTTCATATGCATTGAAATCAGAACGCGCACACTTACACACAGCGAATTTTGGAGTCAACGCCATTATAGATAAGATTTTATTTTGATTATTCACTAAGTGTTACACAGTAATATTAACTGATGACGTTTTGAGCACAAATTGCTGCTCATATTCATATCAAGCCACTCACACAACTGTTTCTTTCATCCATATACTTGTGTGGAATTTACGAGATATTTGGAATCGACGCAGTGATTGAGAATGAAATGTCACATACATTGTGACATACACATTTAATGTGAACACACAGGTTTGTCTTCTTCAGGTAAATCCCTATGGCTTCAACTGTATGTAGAAGACAAACTCGTAAAGCAAAACTGAGATTAGTAACAATGCGATAAATAATTTTAAACGCTTTATTAACACCAATTTTATGCTCACTATCAACGAGGTGTGCTAAACACAGAGCCATGAAGAGATCTTGTTTTTCCCTCATTTAACCATGTCGTATGATGTTCAGAAATATGATAATGAACCTGCCTAACTGTATGCCTAATATAGCTGGTTCCGCAGCTGCAATCAAACTAGTAGATACATATTTTGAAAGATTAACTTGTTCTTCCTTTTGTGTATGGAAACTGTACTTGATAAACAGAATCGGTGGACAATGTTTGTATACCCTAAGATTCAAACACCAATATGATTTATTTTCTTACCACAGAGTTCAGTACTATGTGCGACAGAACTAGTGCCCATCTGAATATTTAATGAATGTTTGTGACAATTCAGTTTCATGCAGTTTGTTCTCTACATGTTTTCAAGATTAGTAAACTATCAGAAAATGTCTTGTTACACAATGATCAGTAAACTAATTCGTTTAATTGTTGCGAATATCAGAAGCCAGATCGCGTGTTATTTCCTATTCCGAACTCATCAGCTGAAATACGCCAGCATCCTCGGTGATTCATGTTGTTTCCTCTGCAATTCCAACCGAATACTTATCGTTTCAAATATTTCTCACTAAATGGCGATGCAGGTACATCCAACCTAAGACATGCGTTCCCTACATTCTAATGCTAGTCACCACTGATCATGATGTTACATGATGTTAACTCTAAGGTATCGTTAAAGTGTCAGTCCAATGAGCCGATGTATGGACGGAGACTGAACATTCAGGTCTAATAAGATCAATCAGGTGGGAATTCAAAATAAATATTCCTACAAATAATTCAGATATTTAGATGATTTGAACCATCAGAATATTAGTACATGTGTATTAAAATCATGGTATGTGTGTGTTAGTTAACACCTGTTTATAAACTAGAGAATAAGATATATGTATAACTACACAGATATTATAAAACCTGTTTGTCTTTATCTAACAATAAGAATAAATATTTAATTATTACATATAGTATATTTCATTTTACTAAATAATAAAAGTATAGTTTAGAAAGTTTCAAGGTCTTATGCACAATAAATGGAAAGTACTTCATGAGAATAACTTTACACAACAATTCTTCCTATTGAATATTTGCCAACATCCATTTTTAAATGGCTTAATAATATTATAAATAAAAATAACTTGCTATGACTACACAAACAATGAAATGTTTCTTTGTCCATGTAGCAATGTCATGTATACTGTTTCGCATAGCAATAGACGGAATAAATAATACTCTTCATGTATTCTTTATCTATAAAAGTACCAGTTTTTGTTGTCAATATCTAAACTTTAATTGGTTTAAATTCACCTGGTTTCTTTTCAATCTGTTTATATTTACAAACCTAATGGGTAATACTTGTAATGCATTTCATTTATAACAGTTAATTTTAAAAAAGAGGAGAACATTTCACATTATAACTTTCATTAGAGTAATATGTGGCTGATATTTTGTTTGATAACTGTATGTAAGTTGCTCATTCGATTATTCAACAGATGCAAATAATATTGCAATATTTTTTTTCTTTTTTTGACAATATCCATACTTTTTTTTCTCAATGAAATAATGAGAGTAAAATTTCGATAAGAATTTTTACCAAACCAGGTCTTTTTTTTCCTTCACGTTCCCCAGTGGAACATAGGGCTTCAAGCTAGTGGCTTGATGTTTCTGTAGCAGTGTTTATTTTACAGGATGGGGTTGCTAGCCTCATGCCCAACCTTTCCTCTTCACCAGCATTATTTCTGGCTTAGCGAGGTAAAGGAGTTCGCCGGCCGGGGATCGAAACCCGGACCAAGTGCATGGTCGGCTAGCGTCCTAACCGCTATGCCACCGACGCACACCAAACCAGGTGGTACATTATAAATTGATGTTAGTTGGTTGGAGGCAATCACTCAGTGCTGCAGTCATATAAGTTGCCATAGAAGTATTGAAACTGAAGAGATTACCAATTATTGCATACTAGCTGAGAATTAGTCATTTTAAATGTACTATTAACTCCGCTTCAGACTAAAACCTGATCTCCTCATTGTCATTATACGATAAAGGCTAATAAATCGATATGAAACTGTTAAAAGGAACAAATAAGGTGGTTTAAATCAGATTCATGTTCTGGTTACTCTCCTATCCTTGAGCGTATCTCTCCACCTAGACCACTCTCATATCAGAAAGAGAAGAATTCTGTGACTGCATATAAAGTCCATAGTAGCAGTTACACTTACTATGAAGTTATTGATGCGTCGGTAGCACAGCGGTAGAATGCTTGCCAACCACGCAGGTGGTTCAAGGTCTGATTCCCGTCTGACACACTCCTTTAACTCTCTGAGCCTGGTAAAGAGGGAAGGTTGGGCATGAGGCTAGCAACCCCATCCCATAAAAATGAACACCACCGCTACCAAAACTTCAAGCCTCTTGCTTGAAGCTCTATTTTCCACTGGGAACGTAAAGGAATAGAAAAAAAGAAGTTATTTATTTCGTTGTGGTAAGTGTTGGAATCCTGTACGCACGTTTTGTTCTTCTTAAGACTCACCAGCTGTGTGCACTTGGTCCGCAGTAAATACTGATATTCAAATTGAGTACCCACTGATTTAAACGCAGAGTCATTCATTCATGTGCTTTATCAACAGAAGGTCAGAAATCAATGATTTCCTTTTGTTTATTTCTTCTAGTTCAATTTTCCCTTGAGTTTTTTGTTGACATATGGGCGTTTTAAACTGATGCCACGAATTTACACTGAATTTCAATCTCTTGTTATCTATTTGATAGTGATTTGTGTTGAAATTTAGGCCGATTTAGTAGGACATCTCTTTTTTCAAATGACGCATTTTAAGTTTTTGATGTTAACACGGCTTTTTCCTTGTTTTTCATTTTAGCATATGCTATACCAGTAGATTTTCCGTGTTATGATGAAACATGGTTGTATTCGAATGAAACAGGAAAATGTTATAAGGCGATATTAGGAGCACAAAAGTTAACATTTGCAAATGCTGCTATAGCTTGTAAAACACATCTACAAAGTGTTTCACAAGTTTCAGTAAATTTGTTACAGTTTGCCGATGAAAATGAGGCTGATTCAGTTGTGAAAATGTTATCTCAAAATGGATATAGAGAAACAGTATGGCTTGGTGCGAATCGAAGTGGTAAGAACTTTTAACATTGCACTTAGTTCCTATGAACCTTTGAGAATGTTGTTTCTGTGTTAACTACAAGTTATTTTGTATCTTAGGTATATTCATCACACTAACTGTTAGAATTACTAAATTTACACAGTTTGGTATCAATAAAGACATCTTTCCTCTAATGAACTGACTTCAGTCTAACAAAGATTGTAAACTAAAGAGCACTAGACTTCTTTCTCCATCCACTTTGAGATTTATTAGCACCGAGCATCCGCAAGCATGTTGTAGATTTGAATGAGGTCCATTAGTATTATTACTGTTGTTCCATGGGGTTCCGATTGGGGCTACAACAGCACACATCCACTTTGTCCTATTTTCTGCAGTCCTCTTTAGCTGATCCCACGGTTTCCCATAGTCTCTTATCTACTCCACGATAGATCTCCTCCATTTCATCCTCGAGCACCCCATTAATCGTCTCCAATCCGGGTTCCACTAGAGGGCTTGGCATCATTGTATTAAAATTTATTAAATTTCCTCTTTTACAACTGAAAATAGTTGTTCGAATTCATTAGAATGGTCAAAATGTATTAACAGTGGTTTCCAGTGTCTACATTTGACTAAATAATACAAATATCACTGTCATTTGACCTGAGATAAACAGTACCAATTTTTAACTAGCGCTTAACTCACTAGAATCAGTTAGCCTGTTAGTACAAATTCTTGACTGACTTTTGTACACTGGGTTTCATTCAGACAGGAGATAGATTGCAACTGTGACAATTCAGTCACATAGCACACAAATTATCTGGTAATGATGTAACTCAGTTAACTGAAACAAACAATTATAGTGTGGATTTAGTGATGAATTTATTTTAGCTCCGTAATCTTTGGAAGTCAATGAATAATGAACAGATTTACCATCCTAACACTTGGTAAAACATTTACAACTCCACGAGTAATCTAACGCAATCAGTGTCTCACAAACAACCATATATATATATATATATATATATATATATATACTGAAATATTGAAAAGTATATAAACTCCAGAAGTTTTATAAACTACAGTTCCTGTAGTTTATTGTGGGAATCATTGGATTTTTTCGGTAAACTGTCGGTAAACCAGCTCTGTTTGAATTTAAATATATGAATATCATAAAGTTGCTGAATAAACGTTTCCCTTTATTTCATAACGAAATCTCTCATCTCGTATTCTTTTGATTTAGAATTTCATATTGTAGCGAATGAATAATTTTTAAAATTATCATATTGTGAATTTTTAAATTAATTTCCTATTAGTTAATAGAGAGTATTGCAAGACGGTAGACATACTTTGGAGTTAGCACTGAAAATATTTAGGAAGACAGTGAATTCTTCGTAATTAAAGGCTTCAGCTCAAAGAATCGTAACACTGGGAACTGACTACGTCGTAATTCTCAATGATCTGCTTTGAGAATTTAATTCTTAGTAGTTTGCTTCCATTCTATTACATAGAGGTATAGTTCTTCGGCCTTTGCAGTTGGCTTTGAACCAAACTTATTGGGGTTCTAAAGCCGTTCTGTCTACTTCACCATGGACGAGCGGTTAGTATCACATATGTTCAAAATTCTAGTCTCGGTTGTATGTTGGTTAATAAAAACACGCACCCCTTTAGCGAATCACATTATTTTTCCATTTCATGTTTTGTCTTACTGCAATGAAAAAGTCATCAAATTTCACATAAATACAGTTTTCATAATGCTTTCTATTCACTGTTTTGTTTTTACCGAATGAAATCTCGATGGAGAAATTAACCGGAATTTAATATTTTTACATCAGGATAACAGTTTAAGATTTTTAATTTTTAGATCCGAAACAACCATTTTTATGGTATATGGATGGTACTACAGCCAGTTTCAGTTACGTTTCATGGTCTGAAGGAACTAAAACAGGCGACTGCATTGATTTCGTATATTCAACTCAACCAGTTACAGGAACAAACAAATGGACTGTTATAAAAACTATTGATAACAAACCATGTGATTTGACACGTTCTTTTATCTGTGAACATAAAGGTTGGTAAATTCATGTAATATCAGTGTTTTATATTATAACAGATGAATTTTTATTTAAACTGCTAATTATTATGTGGCATTATATTATTACTGTGCCGATCAAAAATCAAGTCATATTTTAGTTTCCGAGTGGAACATAGGGTTTCAACAGCACATTTCCATTTCATCCGGTTCTATGTAGTCCATTTTAACTAGGTCGACGATTTCCCATAATCTGTCAACTCCTCCATGTCATTTTCAGACTCCTAGCCTGTGATTTTCCATTCGGGTTCCACTCGATGGCCTGGCACACAATATAATTCAAAGGTCTTCTCAGCGTCTGTTCGATCAGTCCCTATTTTCGTCGACATATTTGTTGACCAATAGATTCTTCGTTGAATCCATTTCAAAGTTTCCTGCTCCTAATCCTTTCTCGCCATCTGATTTTCAGTATGCAGAGAAAGAAGCTGTTGACGAATGTTTCCAGCCTGTTGGAAATGCTTGATAATAATTATAACAGTGATTTGCTTTATTCAAAGTACTTATGATACAGTGTGAAATTTTCAGCATTTTGTACGATAGTGCAACTAATTTACTGTTACATTACAGGGTACACTTAACCAAAATTGATAACACCAACTGTTGGCATTAGCAGAAACAGTAGGGTCAAAATAAACAGATGTAAAATAATAAGAATAATAATATTAGCATTAATAACTGAGCCACCTTTAACGCTAATTACGCAGTTTCACGTTTAACACTATCTTTATCACATAGAATGAGAACCAAATAGGGTATCGTTGAGTTTTTACACTTGGTAGTGCGAGCATATAATCTTTTATACAGACTTCTGTTCCTACAAGACGAGATGTAAGGGGAGAATTGTGAATACAGAGGCTAACGTACCAAGTCTCTGGACCACATAGAAGTGACTTCAGATTAGTTCTGGGAATCCGAATCTTGCTGAATGCAGCACATGTTTCAGTGAAATTATTCTGTATAGAAAGCTAATTTAAATTTTATTTTATCACTTTACTTATAAACTATCTGAATAGATGTATTTTGAATGTTTAGAACAATTGTAATTGTGTCGTCTAGATTCGTTGCACCAGTGATACAAGAGTGAATTAATTCATTCCTTGACTTCAAGAAAAAAAAGATATTAGCAACTAACAAAGACGAAAGTCACCCAGATGTGAAACAGTTTCGTCAAGTGTCTGTTTATCACAATCATGAATTCAAATTGAAATGTTGTTTTGAAAGACATGATGCTAGAGTAAGAGAGGAATCCTGGCACTGTAGTATAATATAATTCTATATTAGATCGAATTAAAATCAGTCATATGCAGTCGAAATGACACAGTACGTATCCAAGATCTATAGAAAGTCATAATAAAAAACAGGGGAGAGTGAGGCTATATAAAGCCAGTTATCAATTCGTGAGAATACACTGATATGATTATGAGCAATAATCGTATTATTATTATTGTTATTACTATTATTATTATTAATTCTGCTTCACGCACCTTATTTTACATCAAGTAAACTTATTTGATATAAAATAATGTTGGAACTTTTAAAGAAATTGATAGCTGAATAACCGTATACCCATTAAGCATAAAATCTATTACAAGGAGAAATTCCACCTATTCTCATTTAAGTATAACAAATGCTTTTTATGCTCTAATTTATCTTTCAGACATTTCAAAGATTTCATTTATGTATATTTCCTTAACTGCTTCACTTATCTAGCTGCTGTTGGTGGTGAACAGGATAAGTTTAACCACTATGAGAATAATCAAGCGATTTCATCATCTGACAGCTTGATAAGAGATTTTAACTTAATTTCGGCTTACAACTGTGCGCATAAATTCTAAATTTTGTATCGCCAATATAAACTATAACTACAAGACTATAACATTTTAATAATGCATCTAATTCTATCAAATATTTAAAAACATTTCTCTCAATTAAAACTGGTATGACTTCATCGTACTGCTTAACACCGATAAATGGCAAATGTCATTTTATCGGGATTTCTCTAAAACTAATAGTTTTTCCAATAAACTATATTTCTTTGGATAGTAAATTTCTAGCTCTCACATTATTAATGATTCATTCGGTTGTAATTTTTATCAAAGTATTTTTTTCCCTGATTCACAAGTTCACAGACCTATAATCATTATTTCTGTTCATGAATGTTTCAGTTCCACTTTGTACAAATCCACAAGGTGGTTTTAATTCAACAACAATGGTTATGAAACCTGTTATAATGGCTCCAGGATCTATTGTACAAGCAGTTTGCTCTCCTGGTACATTCAAAGATACCAGTGCATCAACTAACAGATTGTCTGGTTTCGATGTGGATTTAAGTTTACCAGAAAGTTCCTACAAATGTACAGGAATACGATTCAATAATAGTGAACAACCTCAAGATCCACTTAAATATCAACCACAACTTTTTTATTCTGGTTATACATTGGCACCATGTTCACGTAAGTATCTATTTAAACAAGAAATCTAACAGAATAATAATAACAATCAATTTATTTGTTTTAACAGACTTTCAAATTCCTTTTTAAAAAAAATTCAGCAAATATAAAAACTAATTTTCACATGCTGATTTCCAAGGATTTAGTTGATTTCAGCTTAGAGAACTACTGGAAACCAGGGAGTCCTGGACAATGTTTTCATCCCAGTTTGAAACTCTTTTTAGCAGTATTCACCCATGACCTTCAGGTCACGAGCTGAAACTTTAGTTCATTCAGCCATTGGGACAGGATCTAATAACTCGTGAAGTCTAACTTCTGTTATAGACTAATAATCACTCGTGACTCGACTGAAAAATAAAATTGCCTACACTTCTAGTGCGAAGTCGTGATCAGTATGGCTAATCAAGCCGGGTGTGAGGATGAATACTTGCCGATGACATTGGTTGGTGGTTGCGCTCTATGTCATAAAAGTGATTTTTTTACTAAAATTCCACTCCTTAAAATAATTTGTACATCCAGTTACTGTCTACATATATTTTTAATATTTTTATTGAATACTATTTATTCCCCGGCAAATTTAACGAATACGTTGTTAATTCATAGTAATAACATTATAGACAAAAAGAGAAATAACCACTTTGAATGTGTCAGATTTGAGAGATATATGATGTTTAGTTCGTACATAGTTGTAACTCACCGTAGGCTGTTATGAATGAGAAACATAGAAAATCTGGATATCGAAATGTTCACTTGCTTCTGAATAGTGTTAGACATATGGATAGACGGGTATTGTTATTACACATTGAGATCTAATTGATTTATACGACTGAAGGTTCAAATGTGTAAATATTTTCACCTTAACTTACTCTTGGTACATTTACAACTTTCTCCAGGTTGCATTTCCCCATTGAAATTTGTATATTTACTTTGTTTCATTTTCGCTTTCTTTATTGTCTGTTATTTTCGCTTATTTCATTTTGAAAATATGCGAAGATAAGACCTTTATTTCATTGTTGTACTGACACACTTTCTAAATCTGGTATTCATTTAATTTATTATCATACTGCTTTCATTTACTATGATAAAATGGAAGGCAATGAATATTTATAAAAATCTAAGTGTTTCCAACACTAAACCATTGTCATAGCCTTAATAAAGTTTGAAATGAACAGTAGATTTACAGAATTAATCAGTTTATAAAAGCATAACTTATTGTTACAACAGTTAAGCTGCCGTTTAATATAACTTATATTACTATTTTATGAAAGCACATAAATGATCTCTTGTAATAATTCAATGTCACAAAAACTTCTTATTTCCCATAGGTGTGAAATGTCCACTTTATCCTGAACTTTTGGATAATATAGAAAACAAACCTCAGGTTTCAACTGATCCAAATAGTTTAATTTATGACTATGGACAAAATATTTCATTACAATGCAGTCGTGGATATGTGAGCTTTCAAAATCCTAATAGTACATTAGCAACAATGATTTGTGCCCAAGCTAGTGGAATTTCTAGTCAAGGTTTATGGAATCCAGAAAATTATCAGGCATGTGTAGGTAGGTGAAAATAAGGTTTTGGGCATATTTATGTTTACTGTAGAGAATACGAAAATTCATAGAAATCCTAGCTTCACTGAACTTTGCGCTATACTTCAGATACGCATTAAGTACCTAGAACGCAAACTGCTGCTCAGAAGATTTTAATCTTCATGTAAACATTAAGAAGACAGTAAATTGGATGAAGAAATATTTACTTTTCAATTAGATCATCGTCGCTTCTTTTGTCTTCCAAATGTCTAAACAGAGATTTTTGTATTACACTGAAACCTTTTGATCAACATTTAGCACTCAATGTGTTCAATAAGTATCGAAAGCATACAGCAAGGTTCAATGAAGCGAGGACCTATGTGGATATTTATCTGAATAACCATCTTTTTTATTTTTCCGAGTGCCTACTTATTTCAAATATTATTCAAGAAACAAACATACATACCATACACTATAAGAGTTGAAATTATTTTGTTTAATTACCTAGTGAGTACAAAACTCCATTAGTCAATAAGCTTCATTCACAATACATCTGATTATTATGCTTACCCGTTGAAGTGAAATTTTACTACTATCAACTTCCAGATTTGCATTCTTAGTTAATAACAGAAAAATTAAAAACCAGAGAATTAGAAGTTGGTGAAATGAATGTTGACATTAACTAGGTTTATTTTGATCTCTGTGATCACTTCTTACTAATATCAGAGTTAAATCGGCAAAAGTTATTTAAGACGGTCAAAATCCTTGCTAATTTCTTACAAAAATCCCCTATATGCATATATGTGGTATGTGTTTATGTGAAATACACATCTTATTTAACACAATGCATAAAAAATAAGAGATTTCATCAAAGTAGCACTGATCAAGCCTAGCTTAGCTACTGGGGATGTAGGCTTGCTAGATACGTGTTCACGTTGTGGATAGGAGATACCTTCTAGCATTTGGTTTGGTTTAGCTTAAGTATGCCTACTATAATTGATTTCTAATGCGCTCAGTTTCATGGAGAGAATAGAACTTCTTAAAATGAAAGGTAGCTGCTTCTATGACGCATTTCACTGTTGTTATAATAGGTGCCCTAGAAATTTGCTAGACTGTGTATGCTCATGATGCTCTTCTGCTTCCTCAAGATCATAGTCATTCATATGTGTGTATTTACTTCTGCAAATAATTACCCTACAAGTTAACTGGTATCTATTCACGGCAAAACATGACTCCTTATTATTCAACTTCAAAATATTAATGGCGAATACATTGTCTAAACATCCATATCATATAAGTATAAAACTTAGGCACTGTGGTAGAGTGTAACTCCATTATGGATAAGATTTTATTTTCATAAATCACACAGTGTTACACAGTAATATTAACTGTTAATATTACTGTGTAACACTGTGTGATTTATGAAAATAAAATCTTATCCATAATGGAGTTGCATCCATATCATAACCTAAGTGTACACGTTAGCAGCGTGTAAGGGTTAGAATGACATATGTCGGTTTCTACACGTACAATCTTAGATACATATGATTACACTATACGAACAGAATCGTTAAATCTTATCAAGATGTAAAACATTCAGTGAAATGAGACTCTTTTCAGTGAATCATTGTCAAGCTTTAAAATAGTAGATACATTTTACATTGACTTGGTAACAAAAGGAAAATATTTCTGAGTATGTCGTAGAAAATTATAGTCGCCAATATCTTAAACTATAATGGAAATGTTTAAAAATGTGTTCTTTTGTTATCAAGTTAATGAATTATATATATATATATATGATTTTATGGCTTCAGACTGAATTATGAGACCTAAGTTTTTAATTTAGCAGTAACAGTCTCAAACTTAAAGCTGCTTCTTTATAATGAAAAACAAGTGAAGTGTATACCTTTTTGGTTACTTAAGTAATCATGTGTTGGTTTACAAGACTCTGACTAGTTACAAGTTTGATCAAGAGGTGATATCAGTTAAAGGATGACTGGAAAACCGATGAGTACTGGACATCTATGCTGTCCTACTTCTAGAATCTTCATCAGTACGCACCCATCGGGTTTCGAACCCAGGACCTTCCAGTTACAAGGCTAGCTCGTAAATCATCAAGTCACTGAAATCCTATCCAATAGCCCGTGAATTCTAAATTCTGCCATTTCACCATATACAGCGCAACCACCTGCTAATGTCATTGGCGAGCAACTGATTTCTCTTATATTAATTTGTGGTATTCTACTCATAAAAGTTATACAGTGTTGTCGTCTTTCTTAGTTTATCTCCTGAAATTCTCCAGATGGGATCAGAAACGTAGCCTGACACCTTTTAAACTGTAGTTGATGGTCTAAGTACACGAAGAAGGATGTTTCCTTTTAGATAGCATTCTACTAATGATCACCATGGGAGCAGGCTGTGAAATTATACATATATATACATATATACCTTTACTAGCGCGTAGATGGTTTGTGTCAATCTACAAATAATGGGATATGTTGATAATTTACTGGCTACGAATCGCTTTAAATGGATACCTTATGTCAAAGTGAAGTGTTAAACTATTCAACGTTTCATTGACTTACTGAAACACTTTTGAGATATGTCTTCATAAATTTAGTGGTATTAAATGAAAATCTATTAATTCAACAAAAACAAATTGAGTAGTAAACATTTGTAATCAAAGATGTGATATTCACATACTATTTTCACTTAGTTGTTACACAAACCCTAAACAAACTGAGTGTTATATTTCAAATGAATTGTACTTGGTGATGAGAGTTAATAATATACTTCCTCATTGCACATAATATTCAAATTATAAAACTGAGTTACTTATTTCAAGCTACTCAATTGGGACAGGGAGTTTCCTTAACCGCATAGAAGACAATGACTACTGTAGCATTAAAACTAGTTTTCTTCAGTGTCAATGTGAGTGATTCTATCGTATTTACTTTGGGAATGACGATCAGCAATTGAATTTTAGATCACAAATTACTGGAATACTAAATTTCTCACTCTACCCGTAAGCAGTACTCTGCATCACATTTAAAATGGTTAATTTACTAAACATTATGATACACAGATTTCAGCCAACAGTAAAAACTTTTTCCCAATACTTATTAGTACATCTGATTCATATTAAACATTGCTGATTATCATTAAATTTGAAAATTCTGATGCATTTTTATTCTAGAAAATATGATATGCAATTTTCTATCATTTTCGAATCATTATGTGTTTATTATTGAAGATTTGAATGTTTGTTATATCAGATGCATATTTTACTTATATCTAATACTTGAAATTCTCTAGTGTAGGAAACAGTTTGTTATCAGATAGTGATGGTATTACCTTGTGTATTATTATTTTTATTCACTCCTTGTCTTTTGAATTGGCTTTAACTGCACATCCCCACTGCACTCAGTTTTATGACATCAATTTCACATATATATTTTTTTAATTATTCCTTTACGTTCCTAGTAGAACATAGGGCTTCAAGCAAGAGGTTTGAAGTTCTAGTAGCAGTGGTGTTTACTTTTACGGGATGGGGTTGCTAGCCTCATGCCAAACCTTCCGTCTTTACCAGGCTTAGTGAAGTAAAGGAGTGTGTCAGCCGGAAATTGGACCCTGAACCCCCTGCATGGTTGGGGAGCATTCTACCGCTGTGCCAGAGCCGCATATATATACAATCTCATGGCAACGAAAGATTTGTCGTAAAAATTGTGGGTTTTAGATAACGTTTATGTAATGCAGAAAGCATTAATCGGGCACCAACCAAAGTAAAATTAAATAATCAAATTGAGTGGTGTAACGTAATTGGAATAGGATTGAGTACAATTCAAGGTTGAAATGAATTAGCACTCGCTGTCATGATTTGTTTCAGTAATGCTTACGTCGTTTGTACAGATAAGTAAATGGAATTACGGTCATTGAATTAGTTGTGTTTTCTGAGCTGGAAATTTAGTGCGAAGCTTTCGTCATCCTTCTAGACAACATCTTCAGCGCAGGTTTTAGTATAAAAAACCTAAAAAAACTAAAGTATAATGAAGGTTTTTTGTATTCCCCAATGAATGAAAAACAAAACGATATTGTGCTTACTGACGTTTCGCTATTTAATGCTAATAGCTCTATCAAAGTACCATTAAAACTAAAACCTGCGTTGAAGATGTTGTCTAGAAGGACGACGGAAGCTTCGCAACCAAATTATCCAGCTCAGGAAACAAAAATAGTTCACCATCATCCACCTGAGTTACAAATCTTCTCCATTATTTCGAAATTATGGTCAATTAGTCTATAAAAACGAAAACTTTCCATCAAAATAAGTATTTGATTGATTCAGCTCACAAAACTGTCAATTATAATTCTGAATTATAACGTTTACATGCAATATGAATAATATATTTTTAAATGTTAATCTGAATGTAAAGTTACTTATTCCGTGTAGACTAGTATTGGAATCAACGTTATATGTTTTGTTATATTTGAAAGTTGTCAGCTGAATGAACCTGTATCCCCAGTGAGACTCGTACTCTAATTATTTGACTTTCTCTAAGTTTATAACATTTTGGATAGCAGAGAGTTATCTAAAATTATTTAACAAATTAGCTAAATTGAGAGTACCTTTCTTTTACACTTTTTTCTATTCATAGCTGTACGTTGTGATCAGAAACAACTGGAAAGTATGATACCTAAAAATGCAAAGCTAGTTAGTGCACGTAATCGTATTACAGATCAAGTTTTCGGTTCACATCAAGTTAATCAGTTTTACTCCTATGGAAATATTATTTCTATCAGATGTAATCCAGGTTATTTATTTAATGATCGTACAACAGAAAAATCTGTATCCTGTGAATTAGCATCTGGCTCAGATACAGTTGGAGAGTATCGAGGTTATTCTGGTACCGTACTGCCTTTACCAACAGAATGTCAAGGTAAATTAGATAAATATTTGGTTGAAAATTTTTTTAAATTATATTGAAATACCTCAAAAGCAAACTTTAAAATTCACTTCATAATGAGTTTCGTACTGAAGACGTTGTCTGGAAATATAATGAAAGCTTCATAAAGAAACCACCCAGCTCACACAACACAGTCACATCAAAATCATCCAACTGAGTTACGAATCTCCTCTATTATTTCACCTTCTACTTCTTGCTTACTTCTGTTTACTTGTAATTCTTAAAGCTCAGGATGGTCAAAAGAAATTACGCAATCTAAAAGTAATCACATGAAAGTTTAACAGAATAAAGGTAAAATAAAGTAACTAAGTGAGATGATGTAGCGTAGTTAAAAGGTGTGGATGCATTTTGACATCGGAAAATTAGAATTTCAACATGGTGATTCAAGTGATTCACAATGGAAAACTCAGCGATACCTTTGAATTGAAAACAGGAGTATGACAATTCAGCCTAATGTCACCGATGATATTCCTCATTATAGTGGAGTGGATCATGAGTTAGGCCGTAGGGAGCTAGAAGACAGGAATACATGGGCTCTAGAAGATTTGAACTTCTTGGACGATTTATGTCTAATGTCACTTTATGTGACACGAAGATCTACAGGCGAATACCAACAAGTTGGTAGAAGACTGAAGTAGGGAACATACAGAAGATAGGTGACGAGGATACCTAACCAAAAACAACAATCATCAATCACTATCAAGGATAGAAATCTGAAGGAAGTCACTTCTTTCACATATCTGGGCAGCATCGTTCCAAGATGTCTAAGTCATAACTAGAAAGTTAGTACAAGCCTTCGATACTCTGAAATCAGTCTAGAAGTATACTACACTAGGCATAAGAAACAATATTCGGAGTTTTAAGAGTATTGTCAAGTCAGTCAGTTCTCCTGTGTTGTTCAGAGTCTTGGCGTTTCATGGGAAGCATTCCCAGCAGGCTGCTACCTTTGGCACATATCAATGGTCAGATGACCAGTCAGAATGGGCAGATAGCAAGTAACCTAGGTAATGAACCAACCAAGAACCTATTGTTCAACAAATGTCTCGAAGAAAACGGGGATGGACTGGACACATTCTAAGAGGGCCGTCGAGTTACACTGTGCGCCAGGCCCACTAGTGAGACCTGAATGGGAAATGACGAGTTAAGGTGTCCGAGGGTGACATGCAGGAGATCATGTAAGTTGGAGATGAGAACCTATAGAAAATCGTGGAGCCAGCTAAAAACAACTACAGAGAACAGAGTGAAATGGAGATATGCTGTTGAAGCCATATGTCCCACTTGGTACCTAAGAGAAGTACAGAAAAAAGATTATATAGCGACAGACATTGTGAGAATAGAAGGCGTATTATGATGATAAAAAGCTAAAAGAACAATTTTTCAAGTAAAAGATATACTGTGTTTCACTTTAAGCCTAATAAGTGAACAAACCGCTTTTATACCGCTTAGTATAGACTTTAAAATAGTTTTCATAAATGAGTGAAGCTTGAGCTCTATGGTTGTATATATTGCCACATAACAAATAGTATTATTTACCATATGATCTTCTAAATACCTAAAGTGATTTCATGTAGAATTGAATCCAACATAATTTTAAACAAGAAATTGTGTTCGAAACGTGAAACATTGAATCACACTATTTCATTGTATAATAAACTGACATAGTTTCTCAAGTCTCGCATGTTTTATCAATACGTTTTCAAGAAGACTCCCATAGACTCTGTAGATAACACTTGGATTGATTCGTCGTTTCGTCTAGTGGTTAGCGTGCTCCAAATATTCTGTAACTGAGCTGTGAGTTTGTATACCTCCCTTTTGTAAAATCAAGATGTTTTGTTCAATGGAACGTTTCAAAAGGAGACAATGAGTTGGGCCTAAATATCTTCTTGCCAGAAGCAGGTTAGCTTAAAAACATAGATTAAGATCAAGGGCTATAATTTCTCCTGAGTTTAACGCTTTCCTCACCGGATGATAAAGGCTATTTCCTAACAATTCTTCCGATAATTGTCTACCAAATTATAGATTTGTAAAAGCAGTTTAGTGTTAACCAGAAGTGTCGGGGGACTATGTGGTTTCACCTTCAAAGTTTTTATGACGAATCGTCCAGGGTAGTTTCTCAATCAAAACATTTTTCAGAGCATCTAGTTCATCATTGATAGTATCTTGGTTGCAAATATTACGTATTCTATGATACATTGAAAAATTCATATTTCAATTTGTGTCTGAAGGTCTACAACTTTGGAAGCTAGGGAGTTTTCCGTTCCACATGAGTTTCCTCTAGGTAGTTCTGCACACTATTCCTCTGCCACATGTTATTAGCTTTACAACAAAAAGGATATTTTTGAATTCAATACTTTCTTCATGTTCAAATGGATTATAGGGTGACAGACGTTAAAACACACGAGACCTATTTTAAATTATCTGTATCTTTCGAAATAAAAAAGGTGTTGCTTACATATCTCTTGTAAAATTCAATTGAGTATTCTTAAGTTTAGACAAAGAGTCAGATGGCGAAGTCATAGTTATGTCATTCTTTTGGCTATACATTTCATCAAATGAGAATGAAACATTCAAGGCGCATATCAGTAGCAACCCTTTCAAATAGTGTTCGTGTATGCGAATATTCACTGCGCTGAAATTACTATATTCATAAGTGAAACATATCGTCTTGATCGTAAGACTTTCATAATGAAAACATTGGAGCAGTTAGTATTACCAGTTCAACTGACAAAACCAAAAGAATCGCAGAATGAGTGAATAGAAACTTGTCTTTTAATCGTCTTCAAGAATCACTGTGACACTTAGAGCATTTAAAAAGGTTGTGAGGAATGGGAAATGCTAAGTAACAACTTCCTCTCACTTGGGATTTTTACTTTTAATAATTTACTTTAGGAGTTTCAAAATCTTACTTCCCCCAACTTATAATACAGTATGCGTTCTTGTGTGTCATCGTAAATTTATCAAATATCACTTTTATGATTATGAAAAATCAGGTTTTCCCAACCTCTTCCTCATCAATATCTAACATAGACATGTTGCCCAACTGGCACTTTTAGACATTTTGTGGTTTATTTGGTGAAATTACTCACTTTTTCCACATTGTCTGTCGTCAGCTTGAGAACTAATGAAAACAAGTGGGTAGTAGACAGTTTTAATTTTAATTGATCACTAATGACTGATTAACACTGCTTACTAAAGACTCCATGCGACATCAAGGCTGGAATCGCCCTATCTTATGCCGATTATTTTAATATTCATTCAACCTGCAATTTGGTAACTTATACTTTCTAACAGTTGACTATTTGCAATGTAGCCCAGCAATCATTTTTGTTATCATTTGAATTCATATGTGTCTAATGCTGAACCGTGTCGAACTAGAATGAAGTAATTATCCATTGCAAGCTGGTCTTCATTATTTCTTGATTTAACGCAGGCTTATGATCAAATTTTTCATGAATTTGTCAGGTGATTTATGAGTATCTACTATCACATACTGTTCCAGTCTCTGAAGAGTCAACAGGCTTACCTTGCAACCTGAAGACCATGGGTTTGATTTCCGGTAGAGTGATAGATGCACACTGATGAAGAAAACCAAACTAGGACTAAGGGGTTGTCTAAAGTATTGAAGGTTCACTGGTAGGATGCTCGTCAGTCACTTGAGATGTCCGGGTTCAACTCTCCACCAACGCACTCTTAAACCTCTCCTAGTTTACTAGATGATAGAAAGGCCGTAAAAGAAAGAAGGTTGAGTGTGAGGCTATCAAACTCTGTAAAAATAACACCACGGCTCGTTGAACTTCAAAGCTTGAAACCCTACGTTCCACCAGGAACCCAGGGAATAAGAAAGTACCAAAGACTAAATAAATGCATTTCTGGTGAGTGGAAGTAATCATTAAGAGTACTAAGTTGGAGTGAATTTGTACTGTCTTTCCAAATCTTTGATAAGTAAGTAATATTTACGGCAGTGTCAGTGGTTCAGTAGTAGGACAATGGACAGTCACGCAAGTGGTCTGATGTTCGATCCCTGCCGACCCATACCATTACCTCGCTTAGGCGGCAGTAACCTCGGAAAATAGAGAAGGTTAAGTGTGAGGCCAGGAACTCCATCCTGTAAAAAAACACCACTGCTGCTGAAACTCCAAAGCTCTAGCCTCAGGCCGCATATTCCACTGGGGACGAAAAGAAATAAAATATAAAATAATTTACCACACACGTCAAGAAAGTAATGACCGTAGGAAGATATTTTGCTCAAACATTAAACTGATATTATTACACCACCAATAACTTCCTACTCATACTTAACCTGTTTAATTTAGAACAAAATTTAACATCTTTTATTTGACCATCCAGCTTAAAGAATTGTCCAAAAATATAATCACTTTCCATTTGGAAATGATTACATCATTTTCATGTAAATAGATATTATCTTGCCAAAAGTAAACAAGTTAGTGTGAAATCTGAATGAGAAATAAATCACTCCTAATTGCAGTGCAGAGAAATGATCATTCACTCAAATTTTAATCCATGACAAGCGGTGAATTTACTAATGAAACATGTGTTACATAATTAGCCTTGCAAAACATTCAACAGTACACGTAGGGAACTAACAAAGACTACACTTAACAACACAACTGGGGATAATAGTTATTTTTTTATTATACATTATCTACAAAACTGTGTTAAGAAAAGGTAATAACCCCGTTCACACAGTATTTTGGTTCACAATCCAACTCAGTATATTTAAAAAGCTGTAAACGTTGCAATACACAAACAGACCTAACGGGCAGACTATATTATAATAGCAACACTGACAAACTAAGTGCAAATTTGGAGTTTGCCTAAATTTCCATCCCTTCAAGTTTCCGCCTTACGGAAAAGCGCACATAGAAGAAAATGCACCAGGGGAGAAAATAATCAGTGAGAATTTTAAGGATCTGAATGACAACGGAGTAAATACATCCACACTACTGTAGATAACATTACACCACCTCGTCAACAATCTGTAACCACTGATTCACGGAATTCCGAAATGCCCAGGCTACTAATCTAGGCCACCCTATGATGCTCAAACTAAAAGTCGAAATCTTCATGTACTGCCTGACACTTTTCTAAACTAATCCTACCTAGATAAAATCTCATGGATAAAGACGGTGGCTTGGCATTTGTGTCACATTTCTTAGCCACCTCAATCAACTAAAATTCATAACATTACCGAGAGACTTTCCTTCATTAACTATAAATCCGAGTCCAGCCCCATTATATATGACCATATTGCACCTCTTGAAACGACGTATCGAGCTAAGACACCCAAAAGCACTAATATAACTTTTAAAAAGTAATGTTTCCACAAATCGACCGTCTAATGGCGACCTAGGAAGTTACTTGGTAATGACAAATGTATAAACAGAAATCCCGTGATCAGATCTGCAGTGTGATTATAAAAGTCAGTTGTAAGACACTGTAATATATTTTTGACTCCAGTTTGTAGTACTGGATTCCGAACAACAGGAATCCCTTTGCCGAGCTACCATGATATAGTACCTTATTTTGCGTTAAGAGTGGACCGAAACACCAAAGTGGGACTTACTGCCAAACTAGTTTTGAAAAACTTTAGTAAAGGTTAGAACCTACTACATCGTACGTGCCGAGAATGTAAAATGTCCCCCTAAGTAGTGACTAATGTTAGACTTCTTCCTTATGCTTTATGGTACCAGGGAAACCTCACTCTGAACTAATCAACGGTAGGATCTAACATGCAGTCGCGTTTAATCTTTTCCGAATTGTGTGTGTGAGTGTGTCTGAAGTGAATTCAAAAACATGACATTTTAGTGACACCTAGATTCATTTGTTACGACTACCGAATTTCGGAGTGAATTACTGCTGTACTTATCTCTAGCTAGCTTGTAAAATAACAGACAACTGTCAACGGTTCCCGTTGACAGTTGTTGACAGGTGTATGCACATTTAGGTATTTCTCTATAATAAACTACGTAATTTTATTGAGACAATTAACTATTCTTTTATTCCAGAGGCTACTTGCTTATACGAACAGGCTGTAATACAATCGGATTCAAATATGCAACCATATTTTATTGTCGTAAGAAGTACTATTGATGTAGTGAACTTAACCAGGCATGCTGGAGTTCCATATCCGCGTGGAACAGTGATTCGATACTTTTGCAAGGATGGATATGAAAGCATAAATCAAAATTCAGAATTAAATATCACTTGCGGTGATTATGGCCAGTGGATACCACAGTTGGTCGGTTGTATTGGTAATATAACAAATTTTTACATTGATAAAATTTATATATGATGAGCTAATTCTATTTTAAATAGCACTATATATATATATATGTAGTGGTGGTTATATTTCAAAACTGATTGGTAGAATTTGATAAGCAATTAAAATGTTAAAAACGTCATAATCTACTTTGTACTGAGTATTAAATCTGCATAATATGAGGGCTTCAAATTTACTCCTGAAAGGTAACTGACTAAAGTTATCATTGTTTTTCAGATTCCGTGAGTGATTTTGAACAATTGGTTAGGTTTTAACCACTAAATATATATTCGTAAAATTTAGAAATCGCTGCTTAAAATGGACTGAATTTTTAATTTAGAACTTTGCATAAAATTACTTTAGTTCAAGTTAACACACTTCAGAAAAGCATACATAAAGATTGACGAAAGAAATGCTAAGAAACCACAGTAAACGAAAATCTATGCAAGAAAGAATTACCGGAATATTAGTGAGGATCTTTTTAGCCTGGGAGATGATAAGTAGTATATGCATAGGAACTTATGGAAATAACAATAGAATCTGAAAGTGTAGTGGACTGTAATACTTTGACATTTAATGAACTAAGTCCTGAAATTTTATACAATTTTATCGCCTGATGAACTTCAGAAATTTAAGAACAATAGATTGATCAGGATGCCATAACTTCATTATACATTCTTGAAATTCAGGTCATTTATTCAATCTTCAGGTAATAACAATTTTATTTTTCTTTTATTTTTAGCTCGAATTGAAAAAGTCCCTGTAAGTCTTACTGGACGCTTTCAGAGTGCACCTGAAGAAGCTGAATCAGCGTCAAAATTATCATCAATCATGTTTATTATGGTCTTTATATTTTTGGGACTTATTTTAATATTAGACCTGGCAACGATTGGAAGAGATTTTAAACAAATTAAAAGTAATATTAAATTACAAAAGAGGAGAATAAGCCATTCAAAAAATAAAAGTAAAATGGGATAACATTTTTTGCAATAAGACAAATAACATACAGTAATTGCGTTCTAGTCAGTTTAAATGGAACAAATACGTTATATCTTATTTTTGTTGTCTTAATCTCCACTATTCAAGATGTAATTGTAAATTCTTAACATTTCCACATAGTCTTGTCAATATAAATTCTACTTGTTTTACTTCACTTTACTTTACTAACTTTAGTGTTAGCAAGTGATGGGGAGGAGAAAAATATACAGACACATCAAAATGTACATTTAAAGAGTCAATATTCTCCTAATTTTCAATATTGAAATCTTTTTTGATTGGACACTAGTCAGGAAATAGTGTAATGTGTTTAGTCCTATCTTCGGTGCAGACTGAATTCTATCAATCAAGCTTACAATGTGGTCACCATGCTAGGTGGCTCGCCATCACGGTGCACTGTGAATTGTTGGTTATTATATGGTTGGAGGCAATCGGCAGGAAGCCTTGGACCTGTATTGGATATTGACTGGTTTCCAATCAAAAGTATCCAATACAGTCCTACAGGAGGTCAATAGCGAGCCTGAATAGCACAGTGGTAACGTCTTTGACTGCAGCACTGGGTGACGCGGGTTCGAATCTCAGAAGGGAAATGAGTTCCTCCAAGTTTGCAGATACGCCTTGCTGATGAGTGCCAACTAGCACGAAACCAAGGTCCAAGGCTTCCTGCCGATTGCTTCCAACCATATAATACCAATAATATTGAAATCTATTTGCTGTAGCGAAAAAAAAGTTCAGTACTTATTTTACTACAACTTTAATTACACGGTCACATGCGTGAAATCAATAACTGAATAACTAACGGATGAATGATCGATTGACAAACTTCGGTTCGCGCTGAAGGAGCACAAAACTACATAGACCACAGGCGTTTATCATTATTTTGTTCATACTCATATTTCTCTAATATAGGTGCTTTCTTTCACCTCTAGTAAGCAGTTGTCAAATTAGTTATACAATTAGTTATTAGTTAGCAACCAGAAGCCATTCATATCAAACGGTAGCTCTACCTTGTTATATCAATCGTATATGATATATCATGTAAGCGGTATACTATATTTGCTTCATCGCAGACAGCCAAAAGAATTCAAACCACCTAGATTCTGATAATACAGAATTCAAGCTGTGATGGAGTCTTACTTGGAAGTGTTTTTAGCTCTTGTTCGTAAAAATACACTTTTTGAAGTAAAACACCACCGATAAGAAAACTCTAGAATATCTGGATTTCTCAGATGATATACGTCTAATGTCACACAAACTCGAAGACTTGCAGGTAAAATGCAACAAAGTGGCTGAAGAAGCAGGTGGTGAAGATAGGACTGCAGGTGAACATAGAGAAGACGGAGTTAATGAAGATAACCAACGAACCGCAACAACAACAACCAGCACCAATCGCCATCCATTCACTTATCTAGGAAGAATAGTTTTAACCACAGGCAGTCGGGACGGATGAAGATGTCCAAGCTAGCCAGACTCGGAAAGGCAAGATACGCCTTCATCAACCTGAAACCAGTTTGGAAATCCTCTTCACTCCTGCCTCAACATAAAGAACAACATTCGCATTTTCAGCACAAATGTCAGGTCATTCAGTCGGTCGGTCGGTCGGTTTTCGACATAGAACTTTGCACATATGTGCGGCAGTTCAAGTCGCCACACTCCATGTAGCACACAAAGCAAGAGAAGAAAGTAGAAGAAATGCATAATATAGACAGTAAACGGAGGTGTGAGACAAAGGAGTAGTAATAACGGAGAACAAAACAGTTTAATTGGAAATCATAAGTCACAAGGAGTGGATGCATCTGCGCCACTGAGAACGATTTTGAGCCATGTCACCAATTGTTTCCAACCATTGGTTTTTACTGTCCCGAGGACCCCAACCAGGAAGTCTACACCTTCCTACGTGGCTTAGACTAACTGTTGTGGATTTCATTGACTAGTGCCATGTTTTGGTTTGACCGCCGCTAGCTCTTTTCCAGCCTGGCCCTATGTCAGCTAACATTGCCCGTCGAGGAAGGCGATGACTAGGCATGCGTCGTAACACATGTCCTAACCATCTCAGTCGATATAATTTCACAGTTTCGTCGACTGATTTCCCCTCCTTACCTAGCACTCGACGCCTAACCTCAATATTGCTCATCTTATTATACCACTTCACGCGGTTCTTTTATACGGGTCAGAAACTTGCACTGCGTGTCACAAAAAGGATTTCCAGCAGGTTCCAGACTTTTACGAACAGCTACTACCTTGGATGGCTCCATACTGAAGATCAAAGGGAAGGCAAGAAATAATTAGTAACAAGAAACTGTGGGAACAAATCAACAAAGAGCCGATCGTTGAACAATTGTGTAGGAGAAAATGGAGGTGGATCGGGCATATAGTGAGGACACCATCAAGTGACATTCCGCACCAGGCCATCACTCAAGTGGAATCAAAATGGGTCGACCTAGGGTGACGTAGAGGAGATGGTGTGAGGAAGAGATGAGAGATTATGGGCAATAGTCAACCCAGCTGAATAGGATGGCAGAAAACAGAAGAAAATGGAGACGTGTTGCTGAAGCCCTATTTCCCACTCGGAACCCAAGGGAAAAATAATTACATTTTATTATTTTAAATAGGTGAACCGTCTTGTGTTTTTTAAGTATCTACCCGGTAAGTCACTTGATATGCGATTTAATACACTTTTGTTCTCTTCTTTAAAAAGTACACTAAGTCCTATGATGATACGACCTAAATTATGGGCGAATAAATACGCAAGAAGCGACAGATTTTGTCGACATCATGTCGCTTCTTTTCGAGACAAGTATTATGTACCTTAATTTGTGCAGTTTATCAACAATAGATTAAATTAACAATGTGATCAGTAGTTCAGAATGCTAGAATCTTTTGTGTTCTTTTTTTACAGGTCACCAAACGATTTTCTAAATCCTGTATTATAAGACTTCTTATTTCAAAACCACTTATAAGTGCACACGAATTCAAAACATCCTAAGAATAACCAAATTTCTATAATATTTTGTGTCTACCGTTTATAACACAAGACATTCCCGCCAAATAAAAATCATTTTACTTTCCTGATTTAATTATTTGCAAATAATCGGTAAATTAGTTTGCAGATAAAAGGAAAAGAGTCATTTAATTTTGTATTTACGAAACTGGTTTTATTACCACTGATTCTTTGCGAGCTAAGATATCGGCAAATAAACGGTCCCAGTCCCATGTTTCATCTCTCTAAGTGGTCAATGTGAAATTATATGTATATGTTTCGACCTTTACCTCTTGTAGTTCAGCCTCAGAAAATAAATGCTTTGTTAACACACTTAAATTGATGTCGTTATCCTGAAAGGGAAAAGGTAACAAATAATTAGGTCATTTAAAAACAAAACAACCTCACCAATGCTGGAAGAGCACCGTGGTTGATTAGCTCTTGATTAAGCTCACGAAATGACGGAATTTTGTTTACGATCACACTAAATAAATGAAAAAATAGAGAGGGACGAGGAACAATTTATTTCAATTAGACCCATGCAAGAAAAATTGGAAAACATAATCTACTTCACAATACAGAAGTAGTTTTTAAATAATCACTCCGCACGACATCTCGATTATAATATACAGAAGGACTACGTTTACCCTGACCAGTAGTACTAAGCACCTGCATAATCTGACACGTTGATCGATGCATAAATGCTCTTTAGACAGACATTCAAATATTCTGGTCATATACTCAGTAGACTGAAATCATATGTTTTTTAGTGTGTTAAACTTCCCAAGCTTACTTGTAATTTTTACAGCCAAGACACGAAAACAGGCATGAAATTTTGTGTGAAAAAGCACCGGTTCATACTGTTAGACTTCATGATAGCAGGAACTGAGAGTTGAGATGATTACTATATGAAAAGATTTGACTAAGAATGCGTAGCAAGATCATGGGATCCAATTTCGGAACAGATCTATATCCGCAGGTTGAAATTCCGTTGCGGAAAGCTGAAATCAGTAGGCGATACGTTCAGACTAAAGATCAGGCATGAAAGAAAGTCTCAGCAATCATTGCTTTTTTCACCATTTATTATGTGGCAGTCCTATAATGGAAGTGCTCATGGAAATAGTGATTATATTTCTGTCCATGTAAGTTGGCTGAGGCGTTACCTAAAACATTTTACTGATGTAAACAAAGTAGACTAGGTAAAATCTTGCTGATGATCAACATACAACTTGTTAATATTGACGTTATTCACCAAAATCTTACTTCGGAGCAGCAGCAGTGTGTGAGTCGCCAAGTCCATCTTCAGCGCTACCCACATCAGGTATTATCGGTATCTCTAGGTATGATGTGAAACAATACAGTAATTACCAAGTTCTTCATCTGAATCTAAAAAATACATAATATAATAAATCAATGATTTTACCTTGCTTGGATGTGAAATCACTGATATCCCGTGAAATATCCTGAGCTCTATACACAGAAGCGTAAACATACGGAAATCAACTCACCGCCTGTAAAGAAAGACAATATTATTTCTTTACACAATCAGATTTGATTACCTTCCATATGATACACTGTGGGAAATGTCGTCTTCATTCCAAACAGCTACTTTTCTCTCAGGAAAATCACCGCACTCCTTATTTGGAATACACAAGTAATATCAATCGATATTAAATAAGAGCAGTATAAACTACTGCGAAATACCCAAGCTTACAACAATTCTAAACTTATTCTAACCTATGCGTCGATAATGCCTTTTTATGGTAAATGAAGATTTTATCTACACACTATGTTCTGAAATGACGCTGGTCGTGCTTAAAAAGAGAGCTGGGTGCTGAATTAAGTCTTTTCGTTCTGAAGTAACGCTAGTCCGCGCTGAATATGTCCTGTGAGGGCTGAAACAACGCTGGTAAGCAAACGCAGTAGGTTCTGATCTACTCCTGAGAATGCCTAGAAAAAGAACACGGTGCTGAATTAGTGCCAGTCATGCTGAAAACCAGCACTGAGTTCTAGTCTGTGCCATTAAAGAATCCATTTCAGAACAGATTCAGAAGTTACTCACTATAGAACGTGAGAATTATTTCAGAATTAGTGAGATTTAATTTAGCATTATGGTAAGCTTGGGTACATACCACAATCTCAGGCGATTTCTGCGAATTGCTGTTCTCACAAATCAAACCATTCTTTTCCTTCACAATTGACTTTGCTCTCCTACCACTTTTGGCAGGTTGCTTAAAAAGTCGCGATAAACTGACAGACTGAAGTTACTTTAGCGCACTCTCGGTTCCCTTCCAAATCATCCGCCATAGTGTTGTCTGACGTCATGACAACAGAAGGACCATGTCGAGGTCATGACTGGTTCCCGCGTAGACCGGTTACACGTTTTCGCGAATTCATTTTCCATTGAAATTTGCAGTTGTTTCTGACGGTTTGCATGTGTCGACATCTATTTTTGTCACTGTAAGCTACTATTAGCTTATTTTTAGTTTGAAGTTTACAGTTATTAAATTGATAATTAACGATTTTGTTAAAGCTGCAATCACTGAGCTACTTCGCATATACTAGGCTGAGATAGCAAATGTTCACAGCACAGTATGAAATTAAATTGCAGTCTAGTTAATCCTCTAACGGTTGGGATAGTACAAGTGACGGATCCTATTAGTAAGGGTTTTTCGGGATATGATGGGAATGACTAATATTCGGCTGATAAAATGTAATAATTTCTGTCTCACTTCCAAGATACTGTCATACTGAAACAATTAACCGAGGACTGTTTTAAACTTTCATTCTTAGCCATGCGAATAGAAATGAAGTGTAACAACAATTCAGGCGTATATGTTTATATTTTGAATATATGCAGAAACATTTTCACAAAAATAACCGATCCACATGGGCTCAGTGTATTCGTTATTTTGTTTGTGGTACATTTAATATTAAACTGTCCAACCCTCTGGTGAACTCTTGTGTTTTCCGCAGTGCAACATCAGGATTTCTTTGCTTCAGACTGACAAGGCGACTTTGTAGCCACTCATAAGCATTCCAAAACATGCTACTTGTTTGCGGTGTTAAGCGGGCGGCAGGCGGAATGTTGTCCGCGGTGTTGCATTGACGTTTCCACCTCTCGCTACTTGTCAGAATATTTAAGAGTGACATTGAAGGAAAGGCAACATACCACAGTTTAGATATGAATTGAAGAAAGCCGCTACGACATGCAGACATGGCAAATAACCTGTATAGTATGTCCAACATGAATATTTAGCCTCATTCCTATTTACGATTGTGTGAGTAACTTCTGCGTAATCAACTGAGGTTGAGGATGTCGAATGGAAGAAGAATACGAGCGTTTGCATGTCTAAAACTGCTTTCTTCACAGCAAAGGTTGTGAGGAGTCCTGATACAGGCTGCTTCTTCATTACTTCTTCGTTCTAAGAAGTAACTTATTATGGCCATAAAACACTCGTTTTATTTCCCATCTAATTGTAATTGATCGATAACACCCGTATTATTATTTATGAATGTACATTATCTCATATTGAATTTTATTCCAGCCCATTATTTTCTGGTTCTTAGCCAGTAACTTTTAGTATAGACAAAAGCTTCAGCATCTATAGTACCTATGAGGTTGGGGTAACCCCAAGACCTTTTGAAACACGTTGTTAAATTTTGACCTACCTTTCATAACCTTGCGTGTGCGCCGTTCGACAAAATGGCTTTAAATACGTTGATTTTGGGACTATTTTGATTGTTTATCTATGAGAATGAAAATACACGGGAAAGAAATAAACAATGCTGCATCAAGGAAATTCCTCCTTCAAAGCATTAATCTGTGCAGTTATGCAGTCGACAGTGAATGTTACCGTTTTGGATATATCACTTACAAATAGAACAGTCCTATCTCTTTCAAATCCGTCAGTCACAAAAAAGGATATAAAGGCCATTCATAATGACTTTGTAGATTAAATTATACCCTAAATTACTCCCAGCTACCCCCATTTTATTCGTTTTATAAGTACGATCAATTCAAACTATTTCCGGAAATTCGTGATAGATGTCGATCATATCATTACGAACAAAAATGACTTCAGACGAAATCTGAATGGCCATGAAGAACGCTAACTGGATCAGTTTGCTTCAATCGATGAAGCAGGTTTTGTAAAATATCGTCTTCTATTGTACTGTCACACTTATTTTGATAGGACTTACTATTAACAATCCTAGCCCGCATATTCTTAATATCATCATACGGGGTAACTTAGCTGAATCTCTCATAAGCTAAATCCATTATCTCATGAAAATCAGTCTTCCTTTCACTAAATGTTCGCATAACGGTCTTTTCCTCTGATGACGGCTGACGTCAGGATACATCAAGAGACATGGGACTTTCCGTGCATCCAAGTGTAAAATAGACAAGAACGCGCTATTCTTTGGAATACGCCCGTTACGTCGACAACACAGATGACACACTTCGTGAAGCAGATGCAGTAGGAGTATTGTGTAACATCATGTAATGGCGTAAACAGTGCTTAACGAACACAACACAAAGATTTTAAGCAAAGGGATAGTAATATACATTGTAATGCCTGTATACCACTACCGTGATCCAGCAAATTGCATTTGAATTACATTTACCTAGTAAGCACAAATTACTTAGGTCAATGAAATGACAACTTTCATATACGAAATACTTTGAAATAGTATATATCCTACTTTTTAACTTTTAACAACTGTCTCAAAATTGTTTCTGAACTATACCTCTCAACGCACTTTCAAACCACTAATACATCCAAAAGGCATGTGACTCATCACGCTACACTCATAAACCAAAACATTCACGCGATGTTTTGAAATTGTGAGTCTTTATTCCATCTGCATTACTGCCTGTACATGTCCGTCTGAAAATAAAAAAATCTCCCCGCCTAGATATGTATCTTGCACCAGTGGGAGGGACCCAAGTGGTCTAATGGATAACGCTTTGTGCGTTGGTGGCATAGCGGTTAAGACGCTCGCCGACCATGCACATGATCCGAGGTTCAATCCCCGACCAACGCACTCCTTTACCTCGCTAAGCCAGAAATAATGTTGGTGAAGAGGAAAGGCTGGGCATGAGGCTAGCAACCCCCATCCTGTAAAATAGAAACTGCTACAGAAACTTCAAGCCCCTAGCTTGAAGCCCTATGTTCCATTGGGGAACGTGAAGGAAAAAACCAGTGAGAGGCCATCTAAGCGACAGCCAACCACTATAAGCCTATATGGATTTTCACTTCATGTTCTGTATCGTTTTCTGGGCTAGCGAACAATAAATCGTTAACTTTGGATGCGCCGCTCAACGATGAGGTGGTAATCTCAGACCTTTAATTGGCTCTCTTGTGGTTTATTCCGTTTTGGGAATACTTATGGGGATTGGCATGTAAAGTTTGTTATATTTGGTTTGTATAACGCACTGTCTAGGACCGCGGCTCTGCCGGTACTTGAGTTGGTTCTTTTTTCCGTTAGTTGTCCTGGTTGGCCGGAAGGGACATAATGACAATATTACTACTCATATGATTAACGGTAAATATGTGAATCTGAAATCAAACGGATAAGCAAGAAAATGGACTAAGCATTATAATTAAAGAGAAAGTGAATGGATATTTGGAGTAAGCAGAAGGATGAGACAGGGAAAACGGAGCTAGTGCAAAGACTAGTTTGGTTCGAGCCGAGAGGAAGAGAGCGGTATAAGACGGTTACATGTACGTTTGTTCAAGCGGTAGGGTTTATAGCTATGGCATGACCTCCCAGCTTTAAAATATCTGCTAGAGACACAGTAGCTAAGGTTTAGGTAAAAAACGATTCTAGGCGAACGAAATTGGGCCACAATTGAGTCTTTGTCTTTAGATATTTGCTCTATGACGGGTCACTGAGTGCATGTTTTGGATCTACTTGTTTCAGCAACCCTCACATGTTCTGATTTCACTTCCCTTGAGAGTTTTGATCTGATATTCAGTACGAAATTGAGGTGTTTTTCGAAGCGATTGAGTTAACGAGGTGTTCTGCTGCGGAAATGTAAACACGCCTACGTCCTCCTTCCACCAGGCAAACTGGAAAGTGCAGTTGAATGCATTTCACAAGTGGACAAATGGTACGACCAGTGTACGCAGCTGTATAGGATTTGTATGTGCATGTCGATATGGCCCGTTATAAGCAGGTTGAGTAGTGCGTTGTGAGAAAACCCTGCTCGTAGACGGTTAGGGAGGTACTCAAAGTTCCTGAAGGAAGTTTTCTGGGAATTTCATCTATCTGCCCTACCTTTTAGAATTTTAATTCTGCCCCACTATTGTGTGGTTATGTGTTAATACATTCAGTGCGATTCATGAGATTTCTGTTAATAACATTAATATATTCTCATTTTCTTACATGAGGGACGCCAGTTTACAGGCATCATCAATTCGATAAATTGCATATACTATTAGTAAGCATATATATAGTAATGATGATTTAATAAGGTACATATTTATTCCTAACTATGTAGGACACACAAGTTGTATTGGCATGGATGAGTATTATTTAAATTACATGGTTTACGATTAAATTACATGGTTGCTGTCATTTTGTTTTTAGTTTGTGGGAAAAATCTGGTAACTAGTGATTCAATGGACCACATCAAGAAATATAGAGATATTTACTTCGCATAAACACAAAAACCCAATTATGAGTTGGATGGATTACAGATACTATCTTCGCGGGGCCAGTCATTCTAAACCTAACTAAATTATTATATTCTGACAGTCTGACTACCTCTGACACACTGGTTTGGCCTGTGTAGTTGATTTAACCGAAAGTCACTGCTAGGTATTTTGTAAATTATATTATTTTGCCTAGTTGGGTCAATCGGATACTTTGATCGACAGAGATTTTCGTGCCTGAATGAGTTTGTTGGTTTAAATGCCGCCCTAATTCCTGCTTTATTAAGAATCCTATATATTTTTTTATTACACCTTGATTTTTATACACTGTATATTTGGTACAAGTATGGTTTTTCAGCATGTGATATCGGTAGCCCAAATTTTGCAGACCGACCATAGATATCAGGTGTGCATCGGCAGGGGATCGAACCTCGGATCATGTGCATGGTCGGCGGGAGTCCTTACCACTGTAGGGTCTCAGGTGCCCCAACCGTATATGGTAGAACTTTGGATGCCTCATATTCTTTCTTATTTAAGTTATCATTATTAGTGTTACCATTGTTTATATTTTGATTTTTTTTGATATTCCTAATGAATTTTATAGTATAGTTACTTAACAGCAACGCCTCTTCTATTTGTTTCACTTCCGTGCTACTTAGTGCTATTGCTCAGCTTGTTAGACACCTAACTAAGCCTGCACTTGCAGATGACGGATGAGATGAATCAGAATTTCAGTATCTATTAGAATGCATTGGCGTCTATCTCCTTCTATTTGTTTTATTTTACAATCTAACGTAGCTAATTCTCATTGTTC